ACAAGGCGGCTAATCAATCTTTAGGAAAGAGTCAAATCAGAAAGTGAGAAATAACTTGCAAAAAACATACAAATTCATATTGTAACCTTCCAACATGACGCTTTGCTTGGCTCCCCGTACCCGACACATCATCAGTAATATGATGAACTTATAAAGAAGTGAAAAATATTAAGGTAACTTACAGATGACACTTCTTTTAAGTCAACGTCCCGTTTACTTTCCTGTGTTCAAAACATCGTTAGGATTGGTCGTTGGCCTTAAGCCAACGGCCCTCCGACGATTAAGTTAGTGATCGTTTATAGATAAATGAAAATAATAGATTAAGAATATGTATACCAATCTAGATAAGTTATCGCCATAACATGTCTACCGTCTGACGATTTCAATCATTTCGTCACCGAAGTGACGTATCACGAAAGTGACTCGTCACGGAAATGACTCGTCACAGAAGTGACTCGTCACGAAAGTGATTCGTCACGGAAGTGACTCGTCAAGAAAGTGATTCGTCATCAAAGTGATTCGTCATCAAAGTGATTCGTCACGAAAGCGATCCGTCACAGAAGTGACTCGTCACGGAATTGATGACAATATGCGAAAGAAGGTAACAAACTAAAAATGAAACAACTTTTAAGCGTACCGTATTGCAGCTCTTTAGAATCTGTCTATCATCAGACGATGTGCCCCCGTCCGAGATATCAATCACTTTGTCTTGTTCATCTCGTCATGGAATGACGACTCGTTCCTCGGGTCTTGAATAAGGTTTCCCAGACTTGTAATCATGCCTCCTAGGAGATTCTGATTTCCCGTGCCCCCATTCATGCTCAACATGTCCAAGACGGGATCGTAAGTCTTCTTCTAGACGGATGAAAGCCAATGCCTTTGCTTGGACATCTTCGAAGGATCAACAAGGGTATTTCGTCAGCTCTCGGTATAGCTCTGAATCTTCACATAAACCTCTTCGGAATGCTTCAATGACGGTAGAGACGTCACATTTTGGGATCGACACCTTCCTTACGTTGAATCTGTGCAAATAATCTCTAAGTGATTCACCATGCCTCTGTGTGACTTGATACAAGTCACTGGTCCGTCTTTCCAATACCTTACTACTCGCGAACTGTCGATTGAAAAGATTGACGAGTTCGACAAATGAACCGACACTTCCATTCGGAAGATTGACAAACCATGTCAAAGCGGGACCGATCAATGTTATGCCGAATCCTCCACACATACATGCCTCTCTCTGTTCCGGTCTAACGGGGACGGTCGACATCACTTGCTTATATCGCGCGACATGTTCTCCAGGATCCGTGGTTCCGTCAAATGGCTCCATGGTTGGTACGTCAAATTTATTCGGCAGTTGGACACGAATGATCGAAGCGTCAAAAGGTGAGTCTTCATAACACGTTCGTGACGCTCTTTCCAAGGGCGGGGGTACCCCTGGCAATCTGTTGATCTTGTCCTGCATCTGACGCACTTGCTCCATCAACATGGACATCTGATCTGCTACGGCTGGGTGGACAGGTATTGAGATAGAAGACGTTGGTCCTACCATCTGGGTGACTTCAGGACGGGTTGGTGACGGGATGAAATTCACTTCGGGGCGTCGCTCTGGAAGCGTCGACGCTGATGTCGTGATACGTCTGCCAAAGCGTTCCGTCACAGGCTCTAGAAATGATACACTAGGCTCATTCCGTCTGGCGTACTGCATGAAACTTGATGGACCAGGCTCCCCACAAGTTCTGCTCCTGCAATGAGGAATTGACGGCTCTGTCGGGGTAGAGGACAGAGTCGTCGTAGGTATGCATTGGGTTGCCGAATATATGCCAGATCCATTTGATCTGACCCGAAGGGATTCCGGGAAAAAGCAAGCCGGGATATTGACTGGTGGTGTGGGTGACAGACCTAGCGTGAGGGAGACGGGATCCGTCACTGTTGCAGGTGGATCCGTCGATGTTGCGGGTGGATCCGTCACAGCTGGGGAGAAACAAAGATCCAGCCGTGCTGCGGCAGTCATTGTGTCACTCCTCCGGTTGAGTCTTGACTTTGAGGCCATTGATACCGCCAATTGCACCTGAGATCGAAGCACATCGTTTTCCCGTTGAAGATGGGCCATCTTCTCCGCCACCTCGCGCCGAAATTCCTCCCTAATCGTCTCTAGTTGCTCATGAAATTCAATCAACAATTGATTTGTTCCGGCCATAATCAATCTTTTTCTTGCACGATGCCCCACGGTGGGCGCCAAATTATTTAGGCAAGAAATTAACAATTTCTTCTAACAATCAAATAGAAGAATGGGGAATCGCACAAGATATAATCTAAAGCTAAATGACAGAAATTGATATTAAGAATGATGAACTGGCTTATATTAGAGTAAATCGTAGATGAATTTTTAAGCAAAGAAATATAATTTTTTCTCGTTTTACAGCTTGTGCTCTATTTAAAATTGGAGTCCTCTACTATCCACGACTTAACTATCCCACGAAATAGGCAGAATTCCTCTTTTCTCGCAGGCCGTTCCTTTCCTTTCTCTCCAAGCTTCTTTATTCTTATCTGCTCCGTTAGCCTTCTCTCAATTGGACTCTTCCCCACTTCTAATTTATTTAATTATGGGCCACTTCGTAAGATGAGTTTTTCCAGCCCCAACAATATATAATACTAATTAAAAATATAGAATTCTGTGGAAAGATAGATAAATTTAACTAATTTAGTTTCATATGTTTATACATTTCATGTCGCGTATACATTGTGTACATTTTTGCATTGAAAATGACGATCCCAACGGGATGAACATTATGTGACCAAGAGTGTTGTTTACTCTTTTTCTTACTAAACCTATTCCCATGATCGCAAACTATTGAGAGGTGAAAAGTCAAAAGTCACAAATTTAGAATTTTGAATTATCCGCCCAACAATTGTAAATAGCCTGATGGTCTAACATTCGTCAATTATACACAAGTGTATGAATAGAAGAGTAAAATATTTGGAATCAATTCTACAATTTTGTCATGAATCATTTACACTTTATTTTCATTATTTGTCCTGACATATTTGTTTTTTTTTAAAACTCAACAAGTCAATCATAATAAAAGAGTACAAATTTAAATAGAACCTGGTTTTATTAGTCACATGTTCTCATTTTAATTTATCTCAAAACATGTGTCTCATATTGTATATTTGTATTTGACTATATAGCTATGTTGTTTATTTACGTGTGATATTGTTTGCTCAAGTTTAATGGAAATGATAGGGATCGGAGTGTAATTATATCAATCTACACCTAGACTAACAAAATAAATTACGGATGAGTTAAAACTAAATTAATATTATCACATTTAATAAGAGATAAATGTGAATATGTGATAATAGGATGAAAGAAATATTAAAAGCTTGTTAAGAAATTTGTTGAGATTTGTGAACTTTGACTTGTGCGTTGAATATTAGAAAGTATAACGAATGAACAACATTTTTTTAAAAGAAGAGTTTGCGAGGAAGGTGGAACCTAAATAGGTAAATAGAGTTTGATATACCCCTATTTTGTGATATTGAGTGTTCAATTGATATTGCTAAACCCCCCATTATATTGAATGGAGTGCTACTTTGTTCCCGATGCTATAAAGATAATGTGATTTTGTCTTCACAGGTCAGCCTTCCTTTCATTGGTAAACATTTTTACCAAAACTTAACTATATTTCACTTTCTTCTTACAAATTGCGCATTTTGAATCCCAATGCTTCAACTTGTGGGGTAAATACAAATTTTTATTTCCAACTTTGCTTTTATAAGGCCAAACTATCACAGAGAACTTCAACAACAATGAAAGAAATTCTACATGTAACTAGCTTTTTGAGCATTTTGATTTTTGTATCATTTAATCATTTATTTACAATAAGGCAAAACCCAATAGTATGTTGTATTTCATTCCGTTTCAAGCATTTTCTAACTCGTTGGAAAGATTTTTTCGAGTTCTAAAACTCGTATTCAAGCGTCGGTTTCAAAATATTACGAGATGATTACCTAATGATCCGAATTTCGAATCCAAAACTCTCTTTACTCTAAATATGCTCTATTTACACTCAAAACGCGAAAACTAAACGAAGTATACAACTAATTACAACATCCGTACCTTTTGGGAATCTGATGGTTACATAATTTTCTACAAAAATAGGAATATGTTTCTACATATTTATTTTTCATCTAAAAATTCAATATTTTGATCATCTGAAAAATGTCATGTTTCTATACGTAAAATGTTATTATTATGTCATTATTCACATCAAATGACATTCTCGCTAGAGGTTGCAAGAAGTTTCCAAAGAGCGGTTGCTTTATCAGAGGATGGTGGTGGCAAACACTACAAAGGACAGCATAGGGATGGACTCGGGCCGGGCCAACCGGCCCGGAACCGGACCGGCCCGCTACTGTGCGGGCCCGGACCGACCCGGTCAACCGGTTCGGTTCCGGTTCGGGCCTCCAGGCCCGGTGGTATACCGGTCCGGGCCCGGGCCTCCAGTTTAGTGAACCGGCCCGGCCGGGCCGGGCCCGGTTTGGGCCGGAATTTTTTTTTTTTTTTTTTGAAATTTTTTTAAGTTTTGGGTTGGATTAGGTATTTTGGGTCATTTGAGGTGGTTTGGGGTGGTTTGGGGTGGAGGGGGAGGGGTAGGGGGTTAAATAAGAGAAGAAAAAAAAAAAACATTCCGGGTGGCCCGGCCCGGCCCGGTTCTGGCCCGGAACCGGAACCGGAACCGCCCACCACCGGTTCGGGCTCGGGCCTCCTTTTTCTGAACCGAGGCCCGGCCGGGCCCAGACCCGAACCGGGCCCGAACCGGAACCGGTCCACCCCTAGGACAGCAATGGCAACTGACTTGCTGGAGCCTGGAGGGTGGATGAAACTTAATGCGTACACTTCTCACATAACATCATCAAACCAAAGATCTGGGCATCGACAACCGGAAAGTTGTTGGAAGCCTGAGAGAGTTTTAAATTTTTTCATTAAGGATAATTTTGTCATGTTAGCACACTTTAATTCTCTCAACATTATTACTAGTATATTGGAAATGTTAATATTGGAGTAAACAACCCCCCCTTTTTTGGAAGAAGAGTAAACAACCCCTTTATTGTGTCTACTTATAAGAATTAATAAGGGTACCAAATACATCACTATATACAGATATATAATAGAACCAACCCTAGGTAGGATTCAACATTTTACACTTCACCGCTCTAAAACCACCAACCATCAGTTATTCAGATCGTAAATTGTTCAACTTTTAAATCGTGGATGCTGGTCACTAGATTAAAAAATTTCAATCATTATCTTATACCACGCAATGCAGGGGTCATCCAGGGAGCTTCAACTTTTCATACTAGACAAATTCAGCTCGTCTGTAGCTTCTAATGCACATCCTTGAGTCCTGAGAGACAATGAGTTGTTTAACCAGACAGAAATCATGAAATCGTTCGAATGGTGCTTCCAGTGGCATTGTGCCTTCCAAAAATCACAGTTACATGTTTCAATCTGTTAACTAGTTTCAAGATGTCGTCTTTCCAGGACCGCGTAGGATCATTAAGAGCACGGATGGAATTTAAACATACAAGAAGTGTTCCGCCCTCATGCAAAAGCACCTGTCATGGTGAAGAATTCAGAGGAACATGATGTTATGTCATGATGATAGCACATGATGACAAGTTGACAACACTTATAAGTAGATAGATGACCGCAATTATATATGGTTAATCTCAAACAGAAGGGTTAAGGGTGTACGATGCAGCCTTTTGAAACCAATTCTTACCTGTCAGGGCAACAGAAAATAGAAGAAACCGTTTTAAGGTGTTTGGTAGATTTCCTACAACTCTTTTGTGGGATCCTGAAGCTTTTTTATTTCAGAAGTCACCCCCATGATTATGAAAAATATTATTTTATCTTTAATTATTTTGTTTCAGAATCACTACCAAAAAATCAGCTTTGTTGTTTTCCGCAAACAATGGAAACCACTCTCGCCAAGCACTTCTGAATTTCTTCAATTCATCTCAACACAGATTCTACTTCGGATAATTATCTTTCTGCGAATCCCCCTCAAAGTAACTTTAAGAAGGTAAAATGGTTGAAAAGAGTCCTACCGTTAGCCACAGGGGGAGATAACCCATAACTGAAGTAAGAGAGGCAAAGGCAATGCTACACAATGCAAGAGCCACATTCTGCTTAATCTGAAAAGTAGAGAGCAACAATACTTAATTACAAATTGAGAACTGAAAAGCAACAAGCATCTCACTAGCCAAAAGAGGAAGATACCAGGGATGTTGTTTGCCGAGATTTGGCGACACAGAATGAAACACCTGAAATGTTGTCTTGTAATAACATAACATCTGCAGCAGCTATAGCTGATGCGCTGGCGCGTTCAGCTAATACGATGCCCACAGTAGCAGCAGCAAGAGCAGGGGCATCATTGATACCATCACCTACCATTATAAGCCCACCTGCAAAAAACATAGGCATATATAGTGTGGCAAATTCTCAATAAAGTGATACACTTAAGGTATGTTTGAATCCCAAAAAATAGTCAAATACAATGAAAATGATTTTAAAAAATAGAAAGTTTTCATGGATAGTTATTGTCTTGTGTTTGGCTTTACCACTGAAAATACAAAAAAAAAAATGAAAAGTCTACGGAAAGTTATTGTGTTGTGTTTGGTTTAAAGAGTTTCCAGTGTTTAGATTTCTTAGTTTTCTATAATAGATAGAGAAATTTTTGTTATAAATTATTTAATAGAAATAGATAAACTCAGTTTGAATAAATTATTTAATAAATACAGTATGTTACAATCATCTTATACGGCTTTTGGTCAACACAGTTCACTTTCCATCTCTAATTTTACGTGTCAAATTTCTATCTTACTAAAGTTCAACTTTTGCAAATCACTAGAACTTTTAATGTAGTTTCTAAATATATAAATCTTGAATTTTTAGTTCTAATTGCACAATATTGTCAAGGAGAAAATAACTTTTTCATCAGTCACACCTCATAGTTCACAATAGGACTATCATTCTGGGATGAAGGGAGCATCAATCAATGATTTTGATGGAAAGATACTGCAAATCAATGTTAAACTGGGATGCAAATGGTAAGATACTGCAAATCAATGTTAAACTCAAATGAGATGGAAAATCACCAAATTCTCTGGATATTCTTGTCACATGGTATAGCTTATCTTCCGGTTTAAGACTGCAGTAAACTTCTCTGATGCCAGCAGCATTTGCAACCCTCCATGCACTTGCTTCATGGTCACCGGTTAACATCATTACATGCAGTTTTCCTTTATTTTGTAATGTGCGTATGACATCTGGAACCCCTGGTCGAGGCTTGTCTTCAAAGTGGAAAAGTGTAACCTGTATAAAACTTTGAACTTGGCTTCAGAAGTCTTTGGGAAGCCGAAGGTAATGTTGCCAATAAAGACCAGAGTACCATAACTAATTTCAATAGTTTTGACTTTTGAGTTTTGACTTATAAATTATAACTGTCAGATAGTCTATCATTCTTTCCTGAAGCGATAGTCTAGCATTTGAACTTTACCATGGGTCATCCGGAAACAGTCTCTTTGTGCTTTAGTGCAGGGGTAAGACTGCATACATCCAACCCCCCCTTACCCCACCGAAGGTGTGGGAGCCTTTGCGACACTGGGGTGATGATGATGATGATGTCTTCTTTTAGGGAATTTTCCTTTCTTGAGGATAGAAAACATCGAAAGAAAATGAAATTATTACCCTTATTTTCCCCTCGTGTGTTTTTTTTTAATTGAGGTTTGGTGTGAAAGACACAATTTGCATTATAAGTTTCAAATTGTACATTCGCTATGTGTATGAAGTTTCCCACATGCATTTCACATTTCTCATCAATTTGAAGAGAATATGAGAAGAGTGAAATAAAATTATTTAGGGAAAAATACTACAATGATACTAAAAGGGAGAAATTCCCATAATATGACTACAAATCATGTTTGACGGGAATATGACTTGTAAACAATACATGGGTGGGAGTTATGTGATCACTTCTACTTTTTAGGCTTGGAGTGTGTAATCGTGAGTAAGATAGCCGAAAGATGAGCAACATTTTAGGGGGAAAAACTACCAAGTCATACATTGAGAAATAGATGATCTTTTAGTCATATGAATTATAATTTTCTCAATTATTTATCCATTCCTTATTTTTTCTTCTTTCCAAAAGGATAGAGCAGAATCCCCCCTTATTTTTCTATAATAATATCTTCTCTCTTCCAAAAATAGTATGAAGGAAACACCCATCACCTTTTCATTGTTAACAGAAAGAGCCGCACGAACAAAATCTAATCCATATACAGAGGTCCTTACAGCCTCCTTAATCTTACTTGATTCATCTTCAGACTGGTAAAGTGAAGTGATATATTCAATAGAACCAAGTGAGGCTTTCAATGACTTTCTTCCTACAAGAAGTCCTGCCTGTAACATTAAAACAATAGAAGCAAGTTCAAATGCCTTCAGATATTTTTTATCATGCAAATTCAGGATTAACTACACCATGCATTGCGAGCACATCAAATAATATCTAGATTCAGTATTTATTACTAGTACATTTTTTACTAGAAATGACAAGATATGCTGTGTGAACAGACAACATTGTCCAGGACATGTTTTGCAAAACAAAATGCATTCACAAACAAAGATTTATTTTCCCTCTCTCGAATAGCTATCAGTTAAGGCTTAAACAAGTTAATAAATGTTTATTTATTTTTCAAAAATCAAGATAATAATACTCTAATAGGGAAAGAATAACCACACCCCCTCATTAATGCTTTAAGATATATGCAGTACTAAAGAGCATTTATTGGTTGAGACCTTGAGGAGAAAACTGTGGAATATTAACAAGTAATGCTCACTAGATATTCGGGAGTGACCGCTTATTTGAGAGCATTTAAGGGACATATGTATAACAACAACAACATCCAAGCCTTAGTCCCAAAAGATTTTGAGATCGGCCAACATATGTAAGGGGATGAAATGATTGAAGTGGGCATATATGCATACAGTTTATGGGCCACAATAACAAGACAGAAGCCACAGAAAGAGGACAAAATTCCAGCTTTTAAATAGTTAATCTCACTAGACATGGTTATATGTTATCAGGAGTTGAGGACAATGTGAACTTTAGAGCCTTCTAGGAATAAAAGTCTTTGGGCCCATTTCTTGAAACCCCCTTCACATTATCAAGCTCACATAAGAATTTTCATTTACTACAATAGTAGAACTTTAGTTATAATTAGTAAAAGCACAATAATGTGCTACTATAACTCTATAAATAAAATACCTCAGAGCTAGATAATGTTGCAAAGACACCTTTACCAGGTAGATTTTCAAAGCTTTCAACAGAAATGGAAGGAAGATCTTTGTCTGCGCTAAGATCTAAAAAAGCTCTGCAAAAACAAAGACCAAATTGGTAGAGCAGAAATTTAAAAAGCATTTGAGCATCCATTAGTGTAACTTTCCACTTCCCAAATATATAAGTTATAAAAAGATATTATATATCCAGCACCCCAACTCCGGAAGCATTAAGCATATTCATAAATCATAGAATGTCAGATTTTTATCATATAGTGGAATTTCTTTTGTTAATGTAAACCAATGAATTTTAAAGAAATGGAAAGAAAACAAAGAAAGTTAAAATGATTTTTTAGATCAGTGAGTTTGATATATGTTCACAAATGATAAGCTCTGAACAGATAAACTAAAAATATCTACAACCTAAGGATTTGTTTAGTTCGGAGATTATTAAACTATTTCTACAAATAGATGATTGGAGTTACGGTGAAGATTAAAAAACTATATAGAAAGGCAGATTAGTTTTTGCTCCTAGCCTAAATTTAAAAACAAATTTAAACAATGGATAATTGGAAAATGATTTGTTTTAGGGCTTCGGGCTACATACTCGAATACACATTGTTTACCAGATATTAGAAATTAAAGAATTTTCCATCCATTTTGAACAATTGTTGCATTGAGTGAATTTATATCCACCAGTGTGTGAGTGCACATAAATAACACCCATGGCAATGAATGACATACATGAAGGCTATTTAGAGAACAACCTTCCAATTGGATGAGTGGTGCCCTTCTCCATAGCAGCTGCAACAGCAAGGGCTTCTGTCTCACAAGTGGGTTCACAACAGCCAAATTGTTTATCTTGCCTGTTCATGTGCCCATGAATTGGTTCAATTGCTTTACACATAAAATCCCCAGTTGTCAATGTACCAGTTTTGTCAAAGGCAATATTGTGGCAAGAAGCTAGGGCATCAAGAACTTCCCCGCCTTTGAGTAATATTCCCTACCAACAGAACAAGTTAAAGCTATGACCCCACACAAAATCAGAGCATGAACTGTTCTAAGTTGAGCTCAAGCAATGCTCTAATTATTCAAAGTTCATAGTTGTTGTTATATACTTTTCCTCTATAATGTAGCTTTATACATTTAGGCAGAGAGTTCAAGTGATTCATAATTGTCAATTATCAAGCTTGAGTTTATACTTTATATATGAAAAGTATGGAGCATCAGATTGATCTAAACAATACCTAAATGGAGAAAGAAACTTAGCTACCTGAAGCTCAACTTCGAGTCCCTTTGGTTATGCTTTTATTACGGTGAGTTGAAATATTTGTACACAAAATTTTCACCACTGCAACCTTTGTGTTTTACTGTCTTATGTACATCCTTGCAGAATAGTGAAATCACTGTGTGGATAGCTTTTCATTAACCTTTCTACTGCAGCTTGATACCTCTGATGAGGTGAGTTTAATTTATTTTATTTAAGAAGAAAGGAATTATTTTCATTGATGTACTATTTTTCCTAATATTTTAAAACAAATACCCTCTTCAAAATATTTTTAAAATTTCACCGCACCACCAGTCATATTTACTAAAAAATCAAATTTAGATATTTAGAGTAGTGTTTTATCTCAGAGTTCTAGTCACTAAACTCATTGCTTTAGCCAATTTTCCACAGCACTGCTCCAAATTCACTGTCATGACAAAGGGGATCTTCAAACTTAAATTCATACCAATTACACAAAAATGAACAAAAATACTTATATCACAAGTTTCCCTAACACAATATGATCCTTCAAGAATATCAATTACACAAGTTTCCCTAACACAATATGATCCTCCAACAATATTTACGGGTTCTCTGTTGGTGCCATAGCACTAGCTCATTACTCCTTTGAAGAGAGTAGGATGTGAACTTGACAAAGTAACTTACAAATTACAATTGATCAAAATACAGCTACTTGAGAGCTATAACGAAACAGTATGTAAAAGAAAATAAACATACTCTTTAATAACAAGTTAAAATAGATACCTTTCTAGCACAAGCACTGATAGCTGTCACATATGCTAATGGAGCCACAGCTAATGCACATGGTGATGCAGCAACCATAAGCCCGAGTGCTCTATAAACTGATCCTCTGCAAGCTACATGAATTAAACAGGTCTCAAAGAATAATTCGGACAAAATAGATGAATACACAGTTGCAATATCTATAGTTTTCAGCTTGACTAAGGCACTTTGCAGGCAATACAATACAGTTATTGAACAGACATTTATGCAAAATGCAACCATCACCCTCCAATCATAAAGTAGAGTAGTATAGTAGACAGAATTACACTAACAGGAAGTTCTTTGAATTACCTGGGCTACCAATGAGGGGCCACTTGAAAAGAAAAGGTCCAATGACAGCAACTGAAATGGATAGGAGTACCACAGCCTTGCTGTACTGCTCTCCAAATTTATCAAGCCATCTCTGTAGTTTTGGTTTACTTAACTGAGCTTCTTCAGTCAGCTGCACAATCCTGTTTAGTGTAGACTCTTTCCATGTCTTTTTTGCCTATATTGCAAATAGAATAAGATTATACAAAGGAAATTGCCTTAAATAGGAATAAAAATAAGGTGGTTTGCCTGAATATGACTACTATATTTTACCCTAAATAGGATTAATTAATGTCATCCTAAAAATACTACCATATTTGGACATTAATACTATCACATTAATGCCTGATAATACCATAATATGGCAGTATGATTTCAAGGTCTGCACTTTACTCTTATTTGGAGAGAAACAATTGCACTCCTATTTAGGGAAACCACCTTGATTTTCCTATTTCGGGAAGTTTGCGTACATAAAACAAAGTATACTCTCCCTATTTTATCTTCCAAAGTACTATATGATTAAATTAAAAGCAATTCCTTAACAAGATGGAGGTAAAAAAAACTCTAGTTCAATCAACCAAGTAATTACATACAACCGTGCCGAAATAGTTCTGCAAATTAAAAATGAATTGGTAACCAATAATATATATGAGTACTTCCTCTGATCCCCCCAGCTAAAGTAAAGAATGAAATATAAAATGCCTGAAGATCCCTAAAGTGAAGAACCAATTATGTATAGCACTCAATATAAACATCGCACTCCTGGAAGATTAAATGTACAAAACTTGTCCCTTTAAAGGGTACAGTAAGTTTATAATGAAAGCACAATGTCAAATGTTATTATGTAAGCAAATCTTGAAGAAATGAGGGAACTATATCATCATCATCATCATTTACCCAGTGCCGCAAAGGCTCCCACCTACGGTGAGGTAAGGGGGGTCGGATGTACGCAGTCTTACCCCTGTACTATAGCACAGAGAGACTGTTTCCGGATGACCCATAATGAAAATCGCGTCCAAAAATTGCATGGACTGCTGCTTCATAACAAAGAAGCGCTTACAGTTTGGTGAGCCATTTTGCTTTATTCCATCATATTCTCAATCCAAAAAATAATGAATCTCTTGCTCCATTGCAAATGATGGGAAAAAAAATGAAAACTAATAATCCTACCTTTTAGCGGTCTTCTTATAATATTCCCACCTAATCGTAACTCATGAATAATCTCACCTTTGCACCACATATTCTTTCATCGGTCTCTGACCGGTTGATGACCTGTTATTCCAGGTTATTGTCTCTTCTTTGCAAAACATTAAACTATAAATCCCACCTTTCACAAATTTTCTCCAAACGGTCTCATGCATCTTTTTCCTTTTTTCTCCCTAAAAATTTTCTTTTTTTATTTTTATCCTCTTGACTCTTTTATTCCCTTTTTTCGTCTTCTTATTCTTATTTCCATGTTTATGTATTCCATTTTTTCCTTCTTTTTTCTTCTTCCCGTTTATTATTTCATTTCCATTTTTATGTATTTTTTTAGATTAATTCCCTTCTTATAAAAGATCTTTTTCTCATACTACTTATTTTTTACTTTACTTTTCACTTATTTATTTCATTTTTCTTTTTCTTACCTTGACTCCACCACTAATATATTTTTCTCTTTCCTGAAAAATTCAAAGAAAAAAATATAAACAAGTAGTCGGGAAAACCTTATAAAAAGAGACTACAACGAATAGGAATACATAAAAAGGACAGAAAATAGAAATGGAGGAGAATCAAAAAAAAGAAAAAAAAATATCGAAAGAAAATTTTATAAAAAAACTCTTATGGTAAACGGATAAAGGTATACATAAACAAGGTAAATAAATGAAAATAAAAAAGAAGAACAAGGAATTAGAGCATTGTGACGATAAAGAAAAAAGAGAGAAAACTTTTAGAAAGAAAAAAGAAAAATCATATTTGGGACCGTATTGAGAAGATTTGTAGAAGGTGGGATTTATGGTTTAATTACTTGTAGAGAAAAGAAAATAACTTGGAATAGCAGGTCACCAACCGGTCAGGGACCGATGAAAGAAGATGGGGTGCAAAGGTGAGATTATTCCTGAATTATGGATAGGTGGGAATATTGGAAGAAGACCGCTAAAAGGTGGGATTATTAATTTCCATTTTCTCTTATTATTATTGGTTCTAATTTTGTAGAGTAAATGAAAAAAAGTACACCACCAAAAGAAGAAAGCAACAATATGCTTATCTTATCTTCAACTCATATGGAACATTAAGTTTTGTGTTATTTCATTTACAAAAACAATAATAAATGAATAAACACATAAATCTCAGAGCATTTCATTGACGCGAAGAGGCAAAGGAGCCATACCTTCACTATCAACATGCCATCCAGGTTCCTAGCTCCCCCAGGAATGCTATCGCCGACATTCTTTTCTAAAGGTTTGACCTCGCCAGTTAAATGCTCAACTGTGATCGTCGAGCTACCTTTTAAAACTTCACAATCCACAGGCACAGACTGATTAAAGCAATAGTAAAACACAATATTAGAATAACATTAAACTCATTGAACAGCACACATTAACCCTCATAAATAGGATAAGCGTGTAATTACATACCCCATAGATATACAAAAGCGCACACATAAACACCATTATGTATGTTGTATGGAGTAGTAATTAAGGGAGTGCAATGTACAGACCTCACCAGCTTTAACCAATATCAGTGAATCAACTTTTAAATCGCTAACAGGGACTTCATGATATGTCATGTTTGAGAAACTTGGTGGGCTCCCATTAATTGCATCAAGCATTAAAGCAAACTCTGGGTGATTTTCTTTCAATTCCTTTACATCAATCTTGGCACGGCGAGTGAAGGCCTCTTCAGCTGTGGAGGAGGTTAAATGAATATTTGACACAGAATCCAAATCTCTAGGCAGAGAATACAGCCAAGTAAGGAGTAAGAGTACACATACCTATATGAGACAAATTAAACATGGCTAGAAGTAATCCACCTTCCAATGGGTTTCCCATGAAAAGCGAAGCGAACGCTGCAAGAGCCATCAGCACATGGATATTAATTTTCCAACCAGCAATGTCCATTAGGGCATCAAGGGAGGCTGAGATCTGACATGTAGCATGACATACAAATTCAAAAAACAACTAAATATACAAATTAATCATACATGACTAGCACAACAAACCCTATAGCTTTCCTAAGAAAGCATAGCATTCAAGTTCTTCTTGGCTGCCTGGTCATATATCACTTCCCAAACCACATTAAAATCTTTATAAGTTCACCTTAGAAGTCTGGTTTCACTAAATTGAAATACACTGACTCTATACCTGCAGCAGACCATACTTTATCATGATATAAAGAGAATCAATTACATCCTAGTTTCTCATGGGGATGTGTTTATGGAAAGCGTGATCACTCTGGTTAGGTCAAAAAACCAAGGAGGCGATTGCATAATTCTAACCAATTTAAACTATTAGGGATTTGTAACCCAAAACTGGACCAGGAACAGGTGAGTGTAGATAACATGAAACGGAAATAAAGAAAATACCCCGACAAGAGGAAAGGCAATGGCAGCGAAAGCATGCTGGAAAGGCTTCACAACCGGTTTGGGCAGCACGCAGGGACAAGCAGCCGCGGCAATAAACAAAACGGCGGCGAAGCAACAGAGTTCCAAATTCTCCCGCAAAAAATTAGACAGGTGAGTCCACCTAGTCGCGTCTGCGAATTTTAGAAGAATCTGTTGGGGTCTTGTCTGCTGCACATCACACTCATTGGGAACATGATGGTGGTGTTGGTTATGATCATGGATATGCCCGTTCTGCTGGTGGTGGTGGCCGTGGTCGTGATGGCTGTGGGCGGAGCAGCAGGCGGTGTAGCGGCGGAGATGGGCCAGGGGAGGGGTTAAAATGGAAGGCGTATGACAGCGTACGACTTGCACGCGAGTGAGTGGAGGAACCGGATTTACTCTGGACCAAATCAGGTTAGGGGTTCGGGTTCTGTAAGGAGATACTTTAAATCCACAGAAGAGAGCCTGAACCTCCATTGCTGACGAAGTTAAGTGAAAACAATGTCAACTGGTGAAACACTGAAGATTTGATTAGAGGAAGAAGATGGTGTAGGAGTTTTTGTCACCAAATATCGTCTACCCTTGGTGGATTGTGTCATCTGATTCACATCATGAGCTCATTCAGCTCCTATTTGCTCTTACGTTCATTGTCAATTGCAGAAGAGAAAGCTTCTAAAAAGAGAAGGAATCCTCCCTCCAATTTTTACATGCCCGCACATCCAACCTAACAGAACTGAACTTGAACTGTGTAGGTGGACCGTGGACATATATGTTTGGACGTTTGACAGCCAAGTTTGGTTTGCAAATGATTAAAAAAAAACATTTTTCACCTTTTGGCTTAAAAAAGCTCTTATTTTATCAAACACTACTAATTTTTATTTTTATCGACTTTCGTGTCAAAAGTGCTTTTACTTTTTCTATTATACAAAAAACACTTATTTTACAAAACACTACCAACTTTTATTTTTCAAAAGGGATAAGGGTCAGATAGGGTCTCGAACTTGAAAAAAAATGTCAAATAAGGTCATATTTAGGATGCTCTGTCCGGCCGACGCCATTTGGGGTGGTTCCCGGTAGAATTTTTTGATGAAATTTTTTGAGAATCTTATTCATTAAGTCTAGTTTACTCATATCAAATTTGAACTAAAACTTTAATCGGGAAGGCATTCAAATGAATTCTTGAAGATAACTGTACCGTTAAAAGCGCAGTTATCTTCATGAATTCATTTGAATGCCTTCCCGATTGAATTGTTAGTTCAAATTTGATATGAGTAAACTAGACTTAATGAATAAGATTCTCAAAAAATTTCATCAAAAAATTCCACCGGGAACCACCCCAAATGGCGTCGGCCGGACAGAGCATCCTAAATATGGCCTTATTTGACATTTTTTTTCAAGTTCGAGACCCTATTTGACCCTTATCGCTTTTCAAAATCATTTTTTTCTCAAATACTATCAACTTTTATTTGATCTTTTTTATCAAACACTTCAACTCTTATCTTTTAACAAAAATAACTTCTATTTCCAAACATTTTCTACTTTTTCTTTTAAATCACTTCTATTTCCAATTGCTAAATCACTTCTATATCGACATTCGCCGACCGACCGACCGCCAACGCTTGGACGCCTGCCGGCTGCCGCCCTTCCCCTTATCGCCTTATCGGCTTCTCACTCCAGCAGTCCTTACTCCCGGTATTTTCCGGCCCTAGTGCATACTGGGCTTCAGCCGTTCAACGATTCGGCCCTTGCCATTTTCACCTTCAGCCTTCAGGTATTCATTGGTCTCCTCCGACCTCCTTAACTCTTCTATTCTTTTACTGATTAGTTCATTATTCTTGGATTTAAAATTGCTTAATGTTTATAAATGAATAGTTAATAAATAATTAGTTGATAAATAATTAGTTCTTATTCATAATTGTTGATTGTTATGTGTTAATCCGTTCTGCTATGTTGCTGTTAGCTGATAGTTCATAGTTTTTTTGAATGCAATTATTTCATAGTTGTTGACATTCTGAATTTTAAGTGATTGGCAATTTGATTTTCTGTTGGTGTTATACTTTATTCTGTAAAATGATTCAATTACAAAGACTTAATGGATTAGCGATATTAAGCATTGGGCATAATGTGTTAGAAATGCTTGATTATTAATCTATTGTTGATGATTTTGCTTCACATTGCTCAGCAATGAATGTATGCAAGTATTTTTAATTTATCTCAAATTTTGATTTTGTAATTGTGATTCTTTGTTCAACTTAACAAATTTAAAAGTCTTTCCTTTAGGTTAAAGGTCTTGCAATGTTATTATTATGCATGTTAGTTCAGACGGAAAAGTTTTTTTATTTTTTAGATCAAGCCCATCATAAATTATATTCCCTAGGCCTTGAAGCAAACAGCACCGGTTAGAAAATATGAATGCAGATATGAAAAATGTAAGAAAAAAAGAACTGAAGAGTTAATGTTATCTAAAAAGGGAACTCTACATAAGTTTGTTACGAATGAACCACAAAATATTATTACGAATGAAAATAAAAATGTCAGTGCTAGCGTTGGTGTTAATGTTGATGATGTTGGTGGTACTATCGATAAGTTTTATTTTTTGTATTATATGTTAGGGCCTCCTACTGTATGCTGAACATGGCCTTTTATTTGTTGGGGACGGGCCTGACCACAATAACTCCATGTTCTTATATTTCCCTAAAACGGGCTCCTGTATCCTGATACCATATTATTATATTGCTCTATATTTACATTAGTTTTTGTGGGGAGTTGATATTAATCAACAGGTGGTGGAAGATAAATTGATAAATGTTGGTTAAGTGAAGTGAATAAGAAGATGGGTCGGGGTATCTCAGCTATATTTCGCACACGCTACCTTCTCATCATTCTTCTCGCGTTCGTTCTCATATATTTCGCTTGCACTTCCTCTCTCCAGGTATTCCTCTTTTGCTTAGTTTCACTTTTCTAATTTTTGGGATTTGGGCTGTGTTGGATTAGTGTATGCTATACTTTTGGGGGGTTATTCCGTACCGGGTGGGTATTTCATTTTCAGCTCAATTCACTGTTGAATGTTGAGAACCAGTTTCTAAACAACTTTGTGTATATCGTCATAAATGAATGAATGAATAAGGATGTGTGTCAAGCTATTCAGTAATAACTTTTTAGGTAGATTAGTGGTTGACTAATTATTTCGTTTATGAAAAGATCTCACTAGTTCGACATTTCTGTAATACCACTGAGTGTCCATTTGGCATGTGAGTCCAATCAAGCACTGAATTTTTTATTTTGTGCCCTTAGATGTGTAACTTTTATTTCCATATAATCTGTTCTTTATTTTTACCAATAAAATATGTTTATAACATAATTGAGCAAATTCAGCCTAGTCACCCACTTCAGCATCTTAAGATAATTTTATACTAAACGGGCTGTGTGGAGCTAATGTACTCCTGTTCTGTAGCTTAGCCAGCTCTTCATAAAATTCAGTTCCATATCATTTATCAAGTTACAGGACTGTCCGGTTGGAAATGTATACGGAGGTCTTATTCATATTTCCAGTGATTTGCATTTTACTTGTTTGTGAACTGGCCATCACCATTAAACAGATTATTTTTAATTCTGGGAATAATTAATTATGTTAAAAGTGAAATCATATTTATAACACAATTGTGAGTTGTCATCCGATTATCTCAGTCTTTTTCATGTCAAAACATATGCATAGCTTCCGTTTCAGTTGAAAATGAAAAGTACTTCAGAATACAGTATTAAATAGTCATTGATCTATAATTCCTTTAAAACATTAATTTATATTTCTTCCAGTATTGGCCTTTTTACCCTCTGCCAAGTATGTCACAGTATTTCATTGTAATATTTTTTCAGTGGCGAGAAAACGTGGAAGAGGTGTTTGAGATCACCCATAGAGTATTTGTGGATGTTGATATAGATAAGCAACGTATAGGCAAGTGTTTCTATTTAGATTGTATCCCTTTTATCTTTTGGTTGATCATAACTTAATAAGTGTTTGTTAGGTAACATATATGCAAGATGCCAACATATATTACCTCTCGCAATAGTGCCTGACACTTCACTAGTAAACAAATGAAGTGGTTGTTTAAACCCTTCTCTCGTACAAAGGAATTGTTAGCTTGATGTCTAATTAGGCCACATAATGTTTACGTGCTTTGCAGGAAGAATTGTTATTGGCTTATATGGCAAAGTTGTACCAAAAACAGTTGGTATGTTTTAAAACAGCACCTTTTTGGTGTTCACTAGAGTTAGTTGTCTACGTTTTTTGTTAACATGCAAATAAATGCAATTGCATTATTTTCATTTCTTTCCCAGTGTTAAATTTTTGCTCTTTGAATAACATTCTGTCACTTTCTGTTGTGCAGAGAATTTCAGGGCTTTGTGCACTGGTATATGTTGGACTGTCTTGAGTGAACTTACTTTACAGTTTTGAACTTTTCAATTATGTAAAATTGAATTTATATGGTGTGTGCACGCTAATGATATAAAAATCAGGGGAGATGGGGAAGACTGCAAATGGAATCACCCTTCACTATAAGGGAACACCATTTCACCGCATAATACCTGGGTTCATGATTCAAGGTGGCGATATTGCATACGGTGATGGAAGGGGAAATGAGTCCATTTATGGCGGAAGCTTTCCTGATGAAAATTTAAAGATTAGGCATTCTCATCCAGGTCGTTATCAGCTTGCATTGTTTGCTAATCTCTCTTTCTCTGTCTCTAAGAGGCGGAAAATAATTAAGTTGTTTTACTTATGTTATCCAAACAGGTGTTGTTTCCATGGTGAACTTTGGTCGTGATTCTAATGGCTGCCAGTTTTTCATAACAACAGTCAAGGCAAGCTGGTATGTTTATGCAATGTGGTTGCATACATTACTTCTAAAGTGTGATCTGTGGACAACCATTTAGCCCATAAAAAGGAATTAGTTAGCCCACTTTACATGTTGGTGACCGGTTAAATAAAGCTGATGCTGACATCCAGCCACACTCATCTGAATTAAAAAAAAAAAAAGCCTAATCCACTGTTGTTGGTTCAATGACTTCAATCATGGTTAGGTTATTGTGGGGAGATTAGAGTCCCATTAAGATAGAGGATAACCAGCTAAGGCAGAAGAGTCAATGTGAGCATCAACCTTCTTTAGTTCTATAAGTGCTTAATTGGTTTGGGGCTTTGGGTAATTTGGACTTTGGAGTGAAGGGGGACTGAAGGATTGATTTGTGCTTTACTGATTTATCTCTATTGGTTAGTATTAGACTTTTGATTAGTTAGATGATTAGATCGTGTATTTCGTTAAAAAAATATTTTTTACCAAGTTAACTCACAATCAATATTAAAAAAACACCCTCTGAAATTCCCTAACAAAACAAACCTTAAATGACAGATTTCAAACATTGTATAATGGGCTAATGGATCTTTTAAGCAATTAGGATGTTTTCACTGGGACTGGAATTTTCTGGTCTAATCTGGTACGCCCTGGCCTAGTAAATGTATGTCTGGTCTCTGACTCTCTGTGTATTTTATAATTATCCAAGTCTGGTCTAGTCTGGTCCGAGACTGAAAACATTCCAAGTAAAAACATCCTTATTCATGCATATGAAACTGGTTTGAGTTAATCTGGTATACAGAAATTAATGGGTTGGGTTTGGTAGGAAAATATGCACACACTTAGAGTTGAGAGATAAAAAATTACTGTT